GAGATAATTCAATTAAATATTTCAATCCATTCGTGTTATTCATAATTCAAGAAAAGATATTTGATTGTTGATCGGGAGTAAAAGGTTTGTTTGTTTGTTTTGAATTTCGCGCAAAGCTACACGAGGGCTATCTGCGCTAGCCGTCCCTAATTTAGCAGTGTAAGACTAGAGGGAAGGCAGCTAGTCATCACCACCCACCGCCAACTCTTGGGCTATTCTTTTACCAACGAATTGACCGAGTCAGATTGCGAGTCGAGTGCCCTAACCACCTGGCCATGCCGGGCCTGTTGTAAAAGGAAAGGCCATTTCATTTTTCAAAAAAGTGAAGTAAGAAGTGTCGTAAAGAGCGCGAACGGTAGTGTGATGTAAAATTGCTCATGCTAGAAATTTTCATAAAAATGACCCATAGTAACAGTTGGAGAATGTCATTATTTCTTATCACACGGTCTCTAATATACACCATAGTAACAGTTGGATAATGTCATTATTTCTTATCATACTGTCTCTAATATACACCATAGTAACAGTTGGATAATGTCATTATTTCTTATCACACGGTCTCTAATATACACCATAGTACTGCCAACTAGACCACGTCAAAAAGGAATGCGTAGAGAATGAATATTGGATAAATGAAATATTTTAAGATAGCATAAAATAACTAAGTGATTATTAACTGCGCAAACTGTGTAAAGTTCAGGAGTAATCAATATACTACTAAAACTCTGAGATTGTTTGCTTGTCTGTAACTAAATACAGCAAAAACGGTGCACAATAGCGCCATATTTGTAATGAAATGAGAATTGAAACAGAATAAAACAAGTTTCGTTAAATATTGAAAATAGCTTAAATTCTTCATAACCTCTGAATAGTGGGTGACCCAACGGGCCCAACTAGAGCATTTAGAATTTCCATCCTGAACAGCACCTTGTGCGCAAATGTCAGAGATCTTATGATAGAGATATAGCTGACCCAAATTTTGTATTACTGAGAAGTGGAAAGGTACTCAATCAACAAAACCCACCGCCACCAAGGCTTTGGCTTTTAACCAATAAGAGGATTAACTGTCACTGTTATAACGCGCCCACAGCTGAAAGCGTAGAGCTTGTTTAGCAGCAAGAACCTTTCTGATATATATCTCGGCACCCTAACCAAATCGGGCCCTGTAGAGAGAAATGTGGTATTCTAGGATTAAATATTTTCATTGAAATTCACTATGCAAGCTAACATATGGTTCAGTTTGGTTGGTAAAACAATAAGTTTTAAAGGCCTTTCCACGTTTGTATCTTTGCCGTTAAGTTTCCATCTATTTTATAGTACAACTGTTTGGAGTCAGTAAAGCTGTTCGAGCTGCCACTGTTGCAGGTTTTCCTGCCACTGCTGTAGTCTCTCTTATTGTTTCTTTTCTCGTTCTTCTTGTTTCATTTGCTGTTCTTGTATTGCTGCTATCAAATCTGCTAAGCTGTAGTTTGATTTGCCACTTCTCGTTTCCATCTTCTTTTATCCAACTCTCTGACACCAATTTGTTACATATCTGCTTGTTTGTTAATTTCCCCTTAGAAATTCT